TAAGGCATGACACATGATGACTCCTATGTGGGTCATACTTCTCTACAAAATCTAATGTATTTCTTCTATTAAGACTATTTTCTAGTTCAAGCGGCCTGCAAACTTGTTAATGGTCTGCTGAAAATATTGTAGGTCAGAACCTGTTATAATGGAGTTTCCTGAGCTTAAAGGACATACACGCCGTGATTATTGGTTAGCAATTATTCGGGAAGTTCTACATGTGCATCAATTCATACTTAAGTTCCAGATTACTGGAATAGAGCGTGATGAGGTGCTTCTGAAAGCTATATTTGGTATATTGCGAGTACAAGCTCTGAAGGATATGAGCGCTAAACATCCACTTTGTTATGAGGATCTTCTTATGTTCAATGTATGTGATCAGCTTCCTGGGGGAGACCTTATACTAGAAACAATTGCAAATAGGTCAACTGTGAGGGAATTGGAGCGGACAAACTCTCCCAAACCTAAAAACAGAATGTACTCAATTTCGGCTTCAGCCTTGGCTTCCAACCTGGGTTTTGTTTTCGGAACAAGTTCTCATGTTCCTAATGAGACAGGAATTGTTGTGGGTGAAATTGCTGTGGGGGAGATGACTCCCTTGGAAAGAGCAGTTAAGGAATCCAGAAGCAACTATAAAAAAGTAGTGCAAGCACAAGCTACAGTAGATGGAGTGAAAGTTGATGGTCTTGACACCAACTTGGCAGTGATGAAGGTATTATTAACAGCTACAGTGGCTTCGAAATAAATAGAAAGGTCAAAGAGGATAAATTGGATACAATCTTTTCCCATTTTATTGAGAAATTGCGAGTGGATCTACTAATTGCTATTTGACATGCTTGTTGTCTTCCCGTTTACAAAATTTTATGAAGTCGCCTTCTCATAGCTCAATCTTTTGGATAGGACCATTGGAATCTCTTTACAATTAATTTTTTTCCTTTCTTGGTGAGCTGTATCTTAATCTGCATGAGTTACCTCTCATACTAATCCTTAAGATTCATTGACATGCAGGAGTTGCTCTCTCCTATGATGCAGCTTGGAAATTGGATTCTTTTTCTGGCTTACTGGGAAGACCCTTTTAAGTCTATGATTTTCTGCTCGGTTTTCTCATACATTATTGTCAGGTAAGTTGGTAGTTGGCTAATCTTATCTGTGTAATGGGCCATCATAAAGGAAAGGACTTATATGCATGTGATTTTCTTTGGCACTCCACTTTATCATCAACCTACGATTGTCTGGTGTATTCTCTAAATAGCTGATTGCTTCTTCAGATTTAGTGTTTTTTCTCTCTCAGCAAAAGGGGTTATACCGTGAAGTGCTTCTAGCTGGGGGTGGAGGGGTGGTGGGGGGTGGACGCAATCTTCTCCTTGGATTTCTGCAAAGAAGGCTGATTGTTCTCTTAGCTAATTAGCATAATTTGTCTGATAAAAAGTCCACTGCCATCTCTTATCCCTAAATTTAGGTATATTGTAAGCGGTATGCTTTTATGCCACATTTTTCTCCCTTGACTCAGAACAGTGAGACTCTTGCTGATTGTTTCACCTTCTCCAAATTTGAAAGCTGCACTTTTCAGGTTTTTATTGGAGTCGGTGTGAGTATTATGTTTTCTGTGCAGATTGTAGTTTTATGTTTCTTAGCTAAGTAAATTCAGGCGGATATCATTTGGGTCTGAGTGCTTTTGGTGGAATGTAATGACAAGAGACCATTCTTCTTACCATTACCTTTCTCAAAAAATACTAGCATCCAGAAGATGCATAATTACAGAAGTGTTGGTGACTCCTATGCAAAACTCAGGGAACCAAAAAAACAGATTTACACCAGTTACATCCCTGTGTTTACACCCAAAAAATAAAAAGGTTCAATTGCATACCATTGCTCTAATTTCATGTGATTTAACCTCCATTGACCACCATGCTGTGTCAAAAGCATGCGAGTTGTTCATTTACTCAACCCTAGTTACCCACAGAAATTTGCCAACTAATATACACCATGGTAGTATTCTCTCTTACATAAAAATACAAGTGAAATGAATAATGATCTTTTAATTCTTTCTTCATCATTGTCGCTATCATGTAACAGTTATTTAATTGTAATTGCTTTCATCAAGTATGTCAATCCCAACTATTGATAAAATACTTGTGACATGGGTTTATATATGAAAGGATCAAAGCCTATCTGGATCATCTGTATATTAGCCCTTGAACATAGGAAACTGAAAAGCAACTGAATGCTCAGGATTTTATGGCTTATCAAATTTTTTTCTGTCCTACTAGATACTTGTAGTTATTCATTCTTTTAAAGTCCTAAGAAACACCTTGGTTCTCAAAAAAAAAAATTCTCTCTCTCCTTGATATGTGGCATTCCCAACTAAAAGGCGGTCTGATAGTTTCTTTTGACCTGCTGCCTTTTGATGCTCTGGATTCTGTTTTTCCTTGTACATTCCCTTGCATGGATGAAATTTCTTTAAAATATGGTGGTTGAAAAAATTTCACTGATGCCCACCTCTTTCTTTCTCTTTTTGTTGGTTGCAGGGGATGGCTGTGCTATGCCTTTGCACTACTGCTCACTTTTTTTGCTGTCTTTTTGGTAATAACTCGCTGTTTATGTCAAGGCAAGACAGTTGATGAACTAAAAGTAATAACTCCACCACCAATGAATGCCATGGAGCAACTTTTGGCTGTCCAAACTGCAATATCTCAAGCTGAAGAAGTGATACAGGACGGAAACATCGTTCTTCTCAAGTTCCGCGCGTTACTTTTGTCCATCTTCCCACAGGTTTGTGCAAATTTTAGTTCTTTCCTTCTATGACGAGAGCAATCTTATTAGTCAAGTTGCTAGTTAAATGGAGATTCCCTACTGTCATGAGATATCTAGTCTTGTGGTTACTGAACCATCTTTGGTTGATGGTGAAAACTCATTTATCTGAAAACTTCGGTTTGCTGCTTATGCCGATTCAGGATGCACAAGGAGGCATCCTGGATGTTTCCTTCACATTACAGAGTTGATCTAGTGATAGGAGTTTGAAATAATATGTCTTTGCTTGACTAACAGTAGTCGCATTGTTATTTGGACTTAGATAATTTAATTGAACCTACATCTTTTCCCTGTTATTCTTCAGGCAAGCGAGAAGTTAGTGGGTGCTCTTTTGGTCTCGGCACTAGTTATGGCATTCTTACCTACGAGATACATAATCCTTCTGAGTTTCCTGGAACTCTTCACAAGATACTCACCTCTTCGGAAAGCAAGCACAGAAAGATGGGCTAGGAGACTAAGGGAGTGGTGGTTCAGTATCCCAGCAGCTCCTGTAGTTCTTGAAAGAGCCAAAGAAGACAAAAAGAAGAGATGATGAAATTTTTTGTACATAAACAAATATCCATCATCCTAGAGTCTCCTGTGACTGTAAATTTGTGTTATATGAAAAAGTAATTAAAGAAGAAATCGGATTGGCCTTGAGGTCTCCATTAATGTCTGCTGTTGGTTATGTATCATTGCCTCTGGGGATTGGAAACTTGGTCTGTTGTATCCTACTGCCCATGAAGTACTATATTGCTTTGTCCAATCTTCCAAGGGATATAGCAATAGCTTATTGTAGAAATCAATGATGCTGCTTTTAATGAAATCCATAGCTTGTCTTGTTCAAGGTAGAGTTAGTTTCTCTTTCAGGGTATAGAAATTAGGAGGTTCAAGCTCCTTGGCAATAACAATTACTAAGGGGAAATTCTTCTTTAGATAATTCTTGATTTTTGTTCAAGTCGAAGAACCCATTTAAGTATGAAAATTGAAGTGGAATTCATTATTAGAACCTTAGGGGTCGTTTGGTATGAGGTATAAGGTGAGATAAGATGTAGGATTAAATTTATACCTTGTTTGGTATGAGGTATAAATTTATCCTAATTAAGTCTGGGATTAAATTTATACCTTTGGTTGGAGACTTGAAGGTATAAATTTATCCTGGTATATACCGCCAACCAAAGGTAATTTAATCTCCGGTTTAATTCATTATATCACATCTTATCTCATCTCATGTGTTATAAATTAGTAATGAGATTATAATCCTGGAATAATTTAGTTCGCGTATCAAACGACCCCTTAAAAGTTAGGAGAAACAATCACGAAGCTGAAGTATAAATATTTTCAGTCACAAGAAAAGAATGCAACATACACCCCAAAACTTCTCATAATTTGTAGGTAAAAATGATAGTAATAAAAATATTTATGTACGGCTCATCATTAGAAAAGAGTTACAAGGGCATTGGGCTGCGTATATCCCACATCCTTATGTTCAGCTCAAATAATGAACTTATTACCATGTCGATAATTTATTAAGTACTGAGTAAACAAATGTATTGAGTTCCTTATTATTTTTGCTGATGCTTCTATCTTTGTTTTTCTTTCTCCCTCTGGCGAACCATTGGCTTAATTTATGTAGTGAGTGCTAGACCTTTCTTCATTCAAGTTTAAGTCTCTCGAACAATATACCATCTTAGTCTAGAGCTTAACAAACTGAGCGCAACTCTACAAGAAGATGCCAACTTGGAAAAAAAGAAGTACAAAATAAAGGAAAGGTGGCACAGATACAGTTTCAAACTTCCATTGCGCCGCTTGATGATACCATTAGAAGAATATGAAATGTGATTTTCATGCATCAACTTTTATTATCTGCAATTTCGTATCAATATTATGTTAATCAAAAATAAATGTTTCAGCTTCGACATTATCAGGCCCGTGCTATAACTACCTAGTGTATATAAACCATAAAAAGTCTCGGCTTACAAAGAATGAGAGAGAGATATTATTAATTCCATATCACAAAAAGCAAGTACAGAAGAATGTAATGAAAAGTATTATTCTTTTCATTATATCAAAACTACCAACTTCAAACTCATCAAAGTTCCCCTCAAATTAAAAGGGTGATCACAACTGAAGAAGAAAACAAAAAAGAAGAACTATAATACTACTAATAAAAGAGTAATAGTTCTAATACAAAATTTCAAAAATCCATCTCAATAATCTGGAAACTCCTTCATACTGGGCATGAAGAACAAGGAATCCGTGTAATTAAAGAGTGATTGAGCTGAGCACAAAAAATCAGCTTGATCAGTAATATCTCCAAAATCATTATGATTATCATTTTCACTATTTGTATCTTTAATTTCACTAACCAACTGGATATTCCCTGCATTATTGTAACTGATGCTGTTATTTTCAACATTCGCAAAAACCCCACCTTTAAAATCATTGTTACCATTGTAATCATGGTAATTATTTGGCTCGGACTTAGGCGAAGATGAGAGGTCTTTTTCCGAACGAGAAAAGCCAGTGAGTTTTTGGACTAATGCCATAAAATCACGTGGATGGGTACGAATTATTTTGGGAGAATGAGTGTAAATTATAACTGGATTGCGTTGTTGCTGCTCAAATGATGGTTTCTTGATGTGACAAGAGTCCCTGTTGATCTTCAATGGAGGGCTCATGGTTAGTTAAATTTGTAACTTTATATTATGTAAATCTGGAGAATTTATGTAGTAGTAAAATGCATGTGTTACGTAAATATATAGAAAAGGGAAAGAGTACTAACACATGTGAAAGAGAGAGCTGGATATATGTGAGAGTATAGTGGAAGGTTTGTTGGGAGGATATGGTGTCACAGTGTCAAATTCAGCTGATTCTTAGGGAAAACGAGGTTATTAGTTTAGACCAGGAGACAATATCATGCTCTCCTAGGATTGCTTGTGATAATCTTCTTAATTCAAACGGGTAAAATTTATGATGTTTACACCAAGTGAATGAACATATGATATATGGCTTCATCCACATTATTATCATTAAACTGTAGCTCTCACATTATCATTTAACCATAATAAATTAGTATGATTTGGTGTAAATACGGGATGCGCATTTTTTCCATTCAATCGTGGCTTGAAACTCACCAAGCCAAGTGATGTTTCTTTTTCTTTTATAGATACTAAATAATTGCAAAATTCATACAGAAACTACAAGTTATTTATGAGTACGATAAACTCATTCCCCTTGTGTCTTTAACTAGTCAACTAACACTTTTGACATGGAGTATGGATTTATATGTAAAAAATTTACTAAATTTTGTAATAATTATTAGATTTTGACATGGAGTATAGTGTATTTGTCTCTTTTCGTCTTCTTGAGCCGAGGGTCATTCGGAAATAACCTCTCTACTCCCTCGGGGTAGGGGTAAGATCTGCGTACTCACTAGTCACTACCCTCCTCAGATCGCCCTTGTGGGATTTCAGTTAATTGTTGTTGAACCCATAATTTTAATAATACAATGAATTCAGTGCTAAAAATTTTAAAAGCTAGACCCATAAAATTTAAATTCTGAATCCGCCTCTGATCAACAATTACATGTGTTTGGCTACATCTTTTCGGCAGATCGATTTATTATGAAATCCGGGTCCTTGAAACTCACGATTTTGTCTTCAACCCTTGATGTGCTGTGAGAAAATGTCCAAACTAAATTAAACCCAACGACCAAGAGAGGACGGACCCACAAAACTAACCCGTCAATTTGAAATTCAAATTCGAGTTTGTGCTTGGAAGGTATCGGGAAAGATTTAGTGGGCGTTTGGACATAAGAATTGTAAAATTCCGGAAAAAATATGAAAAAAAATTAGTATTTGAAAACTAGAGTTGTGTTTGGACATGAATATAATTTTGGGTTGTTTTGAAGTTTTGTGAATGATCTTAATGAAAATTTTGAAAAACAAGTAAATTTTCAAAAAAAATTCAAAATCCATCTTCAAATGAAAATTTGAAAATTTATGGCCAAACACTGATTTCGGAAAAAAATGAAAAAATTTCGAAAAAAAAGTGAAATTTTTCTTACGTCCAAACGAGCACTTAGAAAGGAATATATCCAGCTTTAAGAAAGCAAGGTCCTATATGTACTCCGCATTAGATCATTTAACAAAATTGATTAAGTAATACTCACTCAACTCTTCAATCTTCATGCTACGAGTGAACTACCAAACCATTTTTGTTACTTTTCGAGGACATTGGATAAAATTAGAACTAAACCATTATAAGGTTTCGGTCTTAAAATTGAAGAAAAATAACAGCTGAGAGAGATTACGATAATCAGAACAGAGTCTAATTACATTAAAAAAAATCCATAAATTTCTTAATTCTTGGTAACTATAAAGCTAACAACATTAGAATTTCATACCGTGGTCATTAGTTCAAATCAATAGATGTTCTTGTAATCAGCTGCTTGCCAAAGCCCACCAAAAGGCAACGCATACCATGAATAAGGATTTCCTCTCAGCAGTGTAGATGGACTACCAAAGCTTTTCCTCCTTTTTCCTTTGATTTTTAGAATATAGCCAACAACAAAAGCATATCACCCTGCCTGTACATCGCTCATGTAGAGTTTGACATTACATCAAAATAGCCAGAACAAAATATATGGAAATTTAAAAAGATCAAATCAAATGAAATGGAAGATTTCAAGATCTGAAAATTGCTTTTTTTTAATTCAAAATGAAGACAAATGGGCAAATGGGCACTTGTATCCTTCCAGCAAGCACATGTAATTGAACTGAAATATTTGAGATGCTAAAAACCAAAATCCCTTGTTTAGTACAGCACACAAGAGTCTTGAGATTTCGGGTGATGAATTTCTAAATTCGGGTGCTTTCCAAATGGTCTTTTGCTTATGAGCACTAAGTGGTCCCTTTCTGAGACAGCTTCTTGATGTAACACCCCCCAACCCACACACACAATAAAAAACAACCAAACTGGTGCCGACATTGTTAAGCTATGTGATCGAACACATTTAACCTAGGCGATCACCTCTGGCTGTCAGATAAGGCATTGTACTCAGAATTGGAACTGAAGTTGCAAACTTAGTACGATTCAGTCATCTATGTACCTCCACAAGTCTTAGAGATAAAGTCCTAAATCAGGCAACCATTATCTACGTGGTCTTTGGCTCCGATCTTCTTCATCTCTTCCATCACGGTGGAGGCGAGCTCGTTTGTCCCAGTCCCTGCTATCTCTTTTTTCTGCATGATAAGATTCAGATTCATATCTTTTTTCTCTTCTTTCATCTCTCCTATTATCATATCCCTTTGAGGTCGGTACACCATCATGCTTTCTTGATTTTCTCTCAGTATCTTCCCCTGAGTTCCCTACATCATCATACCTCCTAGATCTTCTCTCCACATGTGACCTATCCAGATCTTCTTTGTAATTACCATCCTTTCCTTTTAGCTCTGACCTGTGCTGCTCGATATCTATCTTATAATGATCTCTTGCACTCAAATCTCTCTGCTCGTAGTGCCTTTCTACATCACTGATTCTTGCTTTAGAATTTCTTGGATCTTTATCAGAGACTTTGACCTTTTCCTGGTGATCAGGCCGTGGAGGCCGACTCAATTGCCCAAATTTCTTATCCTTCTTAGAATCCTCAAACCCGTCATGCGACCATCTCTTAGATTGTCGATCTTCCTCAGCACCCCAGCCTGTGTTTGCAGCTCTCTAAAGACAAAAAGAAAAGGATTATATACCCTAAAAAAATAAAATACGAACTTCAGATCTTTGAATTATAGAAAGCTGAAAACTCCAAATGGAGAAACAGGGTCAATAGATTAAAAAAACACGATAAGAAAGGAAAGTTCTGCTTTTTCCTGTTTCATTTTTATTGGAAACTCATATGATCGCATTAGTTAGTCAGGCTTACAAGAATCTGCAGACAATTTTGGCAAAAAGGACGCTGCTTCTCCGCCTCCTTGAGAAGTGACTAAAATTGAATATCTACCTACTGAAAAAAAAAATGGATATCCCCGGCCACTAGAGAAATCAGAAATGATTAATTTATGAGCACAAACTATCCAACCCACCCCCATCTCGGAATCTTTTCCTTCTATCAGGCTCTCAGAACCATGCTAAGTTCTCAGGACNTATGGATTAGATATTGGAAGAACATGGTGGAATAGTTAAGTAATATAGATATGGGCATATGGTCTTCTAGCAGCTAAGCTATTTATTTGTCCATGATGACTTTGCAAAAGTCATACTGGATTTACTCAAACACTTTCCTGGTAAATCACAAAAAAAAAAAAAAAAAGGTTTAACAGTACTGTCAGACTCAGTTTTGTTAAAGGCTCGTCTGAGCTAGGCGTAGCACAGGAGTGAAAGTTTGCCTCGCTTAGGTGGCGTTTCAGTGCAGGCATGCACCTCATATTACCCATGGGTCATCTTAAAGAGGACTGCACTAAATTATGAATATAGTTGGCAAAATGGAATATTAATTAGTAAAGATACATTATGAATGAATATGCTAACAATTAGTAATACAAAATTACAAACCTATAAGAAATATAGACATAAAAGTCGAATTAGAAACTTAAACTACACTTTGTATCTGAATCAGAAATTTAAATTTGGCCAAATATATATACGGCCCCTTAAATTGTGCCTATTAGACACAAATGCTGAGGTGGAAAAGTGGGTATATCACACTTCTTTTTGAGAACGTGGATAAAAAATATTGAGTGCCAATTGAAGATTAGGCTATAATTTTTCTTCCATCTCCTTTATCTGGCTTCTCTGCAGATATCACCCCACCACGCCACCTCCATAGCCACTGTCTTCATCACCACCTCATTCTCACCTCCACCGTTTTGGCCAATTCCTCCACATGTACTTTCACAGCATAAGCACCTCCATCTCCCACTGAACTATCACTGTGAAAATCACTCCGAACTCCACCACCTCTCCACCATTAGAAACAAAACTTCGCATCATAATATCAAAACTCCACAACTTCTTCAAACAATTCCAGACCAGATACACCCAAATTCGCAATTTCAAGCTCGTAATTTATAAATTTCTCATTAAAGAAGAAATCAAAACACCAACATAATAATACCCAGATGAAATTGAAAATGAAAAATAAAAATAACAGAGGATAAAGAATTGAAATAGAGGATAAATTTCTTCAAGGGTTGGCGTCTTATTTTGGGACAAAAACACTTCTTGGGAAGTTCCACCGGAAAAGTAGCCAGTAAGACTCCATTAATGGAGTATGATCATGGCTTTAAAACAAATGACATTGATGGGCTTTCGCCGGAGGAACCAGAGGGGTCAACGGCACCGATGTGGAACTTCACCTACTGTCGTTCTCTTAGACAAATAATAGAAAAAAATGGTTAAAAGAGAGTTTACTGGTGAGAGAGATTTGACAGAGAAAGGGGCAGAGTGATGATTAGGACGGGTTCATTTAGAGAAGAAGACGATGGGAGAGGCAAGGTGGAGAAGGAAAAAAGTTTATATTTTTTTGGGGGTATATTGTTAATATATTATTTGGGTTAAATACAGGTGTTGTTATTTGATTTATTTGTTTTTGCCATGTTATCGTGTTTGATTTCACGCTGTTACTTTTGTTTACTGGTGGTTAGATGATGGCCTAATAGGCACAGTTTATGTTGGGATTAAGTGTTTAATAGGAAACAGTTTAAGTTGAGGTGTCAAAATGGAATTTGGAGCCAAATTTAAGGGGCTCTCTATGTATTTCAGTTAAATTTTTCATTTCCTTTATTCATATAATTAATGTTTGTAGTTACATATATACTTTCAGTTTTCTTTAATTGTATCTTTTTTAAAGAAGTACTCACTTCAGCTGAGCTTTGCGCTTAAAGACCCAATAGGTCTTGACGCTTTTAATGTGGTTGAACTCAGACATTCTCAAATTCTAGGCCTCAAAGTGGAGTGTATATCCCATAGTTAAACATGGCTAGAACTCCAGCAAAACAAGCAATGCATCAGAGTTTACTGGAAATCAAAGGTGATACTCTGATATCTGAGGTTGTATATAGAAAATGGATAATCCAACCCATCAGGACAGAAGTTTTTCCCATCACTAANTGAATTTTTATGAAGAGAAACAGAGAGCGAGATTTATTTTCTTCTAGCAAATGCCAAAGAAATATTTCATTACAGAATGCAAACAAGAGCAAGGAGATGTCGCAAATGAAAGAAAACTGGATCAGCAAAACAAAGAGAGATTTTTCTTTGTACAAAGATAGGTCAAAAACACTAACCTATCCTACAAACAACACAAAAACAATAACAACGAGAAAAAACAACATAAAAACAATTTCATAAGCTAAAATGTCTCCCAGGAAATTGTTAATCTCGGAACAATTATAGCGGCACACTCAAGAGAGCTTGTCAACTTACAGCCTCAACACGTAGGGGCTTTGAAAACACTGCAACACACACTTCTGCCACACATAACATCCCACTGAGTGCTTGGTAAACTTTAGGGTATTTCCAGCTATAAGAAGGTTTCTGGTAGAGATTCTACAGCGCATATAAGACTAAACAAATCTTTTAACTTTTGCGAGAATGCTTCCAAATGAAAGAAGCTAAGAGAAGTCTAGAGGTTTTTAAACAAACTTAGGGTTTTGGAACATCTGAAACTTCAGAGATTAAGGATAATTTCTATGTTCAGAAAAAATAATCCCAATGGTCAACAATAACAAAAAGCTTGGACAGTCATTCCTTAACATATCTTTTGGACAGTTGGATTGCGAGGAACTATAGATGTGTTGAAGATAGAATTTTATTGTTATCTTTTGTAAAATTCAAATACCTACAGTATAAGTAATTCGTGTGATGTAAAGCTTGTAGATGATCCTGTAAACATAGTGGAAGTCATTGACTATATTCCCAAGGGAAGGAATTCCAGTCATGTTTGTACCAAGGTACCACGTTCTTGGTGCTTCCAACTTCAATAAGATTCACATTACTTAACCAAAAACCGAAAAAGATTACAGTATACAAACAAATTAGCAGCAGTAAAGGCCTAAGATCGTAAGATAGATAGCTGGATTTCCTAATGAGCTAATGAGACAAACCCCTGATTATGGAATTGAGCTAATGAGACAAACCCCTGATTATGGAACGAAAGGCAGAGAACTATCTTTCCTTTCCTTTTTTTATAACGGTGGTGTCTTGGGCAGCTAGTGCTGGCCTTGATTATACCACCGGGTACCTGTTACCTCTAACCAGCAAAGGTACTAGACTATCGGGTAACTCTGCCTACTAAATTTAGGCATCACTTAACATTTTTTGCCTCTGCTTGAATTAGAATCTTGGTCTCCCATAGTTTTCCTTCCACTTCATTGACCGCTATCCACACCCTTTGGTGCAGAAAGACAGATAACTCTCAATTCCACATTCATCAGATTGCTCAAGAAATATGTGAAAGTATGAGTAAGGGAGTTTCAGTACATTGCATAACTGAAGTTCGATAAACATGGGGATGTTACCACCTAAATGCTACGATATCTAGAATCACAAATCTGAAGAGATTTTCGATCATATTCTCCCAGTACACATGTCAAAGTCAAAACAGTTTGATATATGAGTGTGTATTCCATCCCTAATGTTCACTCATACGCTTAGAGGAGCCATTGCAACCGATACATCCAGCCAACAGCATATGGCTAGCTATTGCCATTGAACTCAATTTACACAAACTAAACTGCAAGCAACAAGCATTGTACAAATTCAGAAGTAACGACACTTCCCAAACTACTATAACAACACAAAATAAAATCATAATAACATTATAAAGGAGATGACAGATAAAGAAACAAGAGGATATACAAGAACAAAAGGGAATACTAAGAAAGAACCTGCTCATCGTGAGAGAATTTGCACGCAGCTCCCCGGTTGCATTCACCCTTCTGGAAAGCACGGCAGACTCCTCGCTCCTCCCTCTTTTTCCTCTCTGTCTCTTCATCCTCTTCTTCTTTCTTTTTGTAATTGGTAACGTGGTCTACTCTGATTATTCTCCCCAAAATTTGTGCACCATTTAGATTATCTGCAAGTCCAATACCAAAAAAGTGCGTTGGATAGTCAAAATATGTTGAACTATGTGATCTTATACAAAAGCTTAGCAGTTAAAGAAATGACACTTTTTATCACTTATATTAGCACTGGAAATTCTTTTTAACATCGAAGCTTTAAAATGAGAGAAAGAGAGAGATGGAGACATACCCACAGCAAGAGTTGTGCTCCTTTGATCCTCATATGCAAGAAAGGCGAAACCTTTTGACTTCCCAGTACCTTTATCTCTAACGAGATTAACATCAACAACCTCTCCGTACCTAATTAACATCGAAGAGACATTCTATTATTAGATGAAAGGAAAGTGGCAAAGCATGAGTACTAAGAGTTCAGAGCTGTAAAAAGACTTACTGAGCAAAAACGGCAAGGAGATCTCCTTCAGTGAGGTCAAAAGGTATGCCGCCAACGAATATGTAAGCTGAGTCTTTGTATTTGGCATGCCAGGATGCTTCATCTGAGATCCCCAAAGATGCTTCTTTTGCATTAATATTCTGAATACGCTTCACTAGCGTCAACGGATTCATCGCAGTATTCCAATTCCTCAAACCCTAAGGGATCCTTTGGTTCAGAGAAAAGTTAAGCACAGATTAGCAATGCAGAAAGTGTAATTGTAATTGCAATGCGGGATTTATATTACAGAGATTATGTAAAGCCATTATGTGAGTAAAGCGCAAAGATATATTGATAGAATAACGAGCATGAACTGGTAAAGAAATAAAAACGTCAATTCATTGATTGAAAACTCATCAACCAAAAGTTTACGTTTTTCAAGTTCAATTAATTAAACAGAAGAGTTGGAGCAAAGAAAGGAAAAATAGAAACCCTAGGTTTTTTATTTAAAGAATCTAAGCTCCAGGTAAGAACTGTGGCTGCTGGGAGAAGAAGATACCTCTTATCGACGGCGTGATTTTGGCTTTTTGTCAAAAACAGAAGCTGAGCAGCAGAATGGCTTCCTTCTTGTTAATCCGCGGGGTTCTTGAGTAGCTTTTGTCGAGAAAAAGACGAAAGGCCAAAGAGAAGTAAGGAAAGCTAAATCTAATCTATATCTATACTATAATTCAATTATATTATTTAGTAATATTTAATTTATGTAATTTTTTAAAAAAAAAAATATTCATTCACGTGAAAAACACGCGCAAAACACGTACCCTAAGACTAGTTTATATAAATCTATATAAATATTATTAAAAAGAGAGGAAACTAACTAGTCTTACATGCGCCTACCCTATTTCAGTGAATATATAATTTTAAAAAATAATATAACTATTATTAAATAAAATATTTGAATTATTGAACAAAAATTAAAAAAAATTAGCTCTTAATAATGAATGTTGATCCAATTTAGCTAGTTCACTAAATAAAGAAATCTTGTCCAATAAAAGTCTGTTATGCCATATTTTGAACTTTGGGAATATATTATGAAAATTATTATTATTTTGTTACCTAATACTGAAAATAAGTAACAAATTAATACTATAATATAACTAATTTTGCTCAACTTTTTAATTTCTGCCACCGCTGGTGCTCTTCTTATGGAAACAAATTTGTGTAACTTAAGAGTTTGATCAGCTTGAAAAATAACTTTACTAATATGAGATCTTGAAAAAGAATTAAATTGGATTCTTTTGCTAATTAATTAATTCAAATATTTGATTATTTATTCTTAACATTAAAAGAATAATTTATTTATTTTTTGCATTGGGAATTTTTAATTTTATAATAATAGTGAAAATATAGATAATTTTTTATCTTTTTATGTAATATTTACAAAATATATTTAATAATTAAAATATTTCTTAAGTATAAACATCTCACTATCCTTTAAAATTCTAAGTTATTACCTATAAAAAGAATGAATGCCTAAACATATTTCGAAGGGAATTGTCGTAAGAAAATAGAAGGAAAATAAAACATATTCCTAATTCTCCCAGACTATATTTATTTTGAAATTCTAAATATTAAACTTTCTACTAATTTTAAAAGGAAAGATTTCATAACCAAAATTTTAGTTATGAGTCTTATATATTTCAAATAAGGAAAGATTTAATAAATAATATTTTATTTAATTTGAAAGTTCTACATATTAGAAAAATATTTAAATTATTATTTTGTCCAGCGTGAACTCCATTTAAAAAGATAAAAAAGGCGAACGACATTTCGCTAAGGGCCTTTGTGCTTTTAATATAATGTAGATTATTAACTAATAACTACTTCAACCATAAAACATAACTAGAAAAATCCACATATAACTTATTTTTTAATTTATTAATAATAAATAACTAAATCAAAATATTTGAAATTTTACTATATAACAATTAAAAATATTATTAATAAATTTAAATAATTTTAATAATTTCGAGTATGAATTTAAAATAAAAAATATTTATATCAAGATCAAAATATTGGAAATTTTACTATATAATACTTATAAATATTATTAATAAATTTATATAATTTTAATAATTTCGAGTATTAATTTAAAATAAAATAATCTATATATTCCTATCTATCTACAACTAAAAGTAGAAGAAAAAGTAATCTCATTAAGCCAAGTGGTATAACTACAAAAAGCCAAGTGGCATTGTTAAGACAAAATAAATTACCTTTCTAACCAAAAAATATTTTTAATTTTTAATTTTTAATTAATTGGTTACTCTATTTGAATTAGTAAATATAAATATCTTATAATTATCTACAATAAAAAACAAAAATATTTTAAAAAAACTACCTATTCAAATTAAGAGAGAGAAGTAAAATAATTATATGATGTCAAGTGGCATAACCATAAGACGACAAGTGTAATATTGGGTATATCGTATTGACAAATAAAATGACAATTCAAATATATTAAAGCAATACGATCTAATATGTTCAAACAATTCCGATCACAATGTAATTTAATTAATATTTTTTAATACTGATTGTGCATCGCGCGGGTACGACTACTAGTTTATTTTCAAAAATGGAGTATAAATATAAACAAAAAATCGCTTCTACATGGGTAAATTAGGCCCTACTCCGTAGTTGAAACTTGAAACCAAGTAACGAACGAATCGGTTTCATTCACCATTGCTGGGCTGTCAAAAGAAGTTAAGCCCAACGATCTAGACAGGACCAGCCCATAGGATAATCTAACTTTAACAAAGGGATCTTTATACAAATAAGCGATCGAAGTCACGGTTTACTTTTTCTAGCAAGTATATATAGATTATACAATAATTATACACAAACATATATTATACATGAATTATAAATATAATATATATCCGCTCGCTATTTTAAGTTTAAACGCTTGGGTAGGCGACTATTTAAGTTAATTCAAGGTCCATTTATCTTTATTCCCGTTACCTCATTTAATAAGGACTAAACCATTTTCAGGTTTCCGTTGAGTAGATTGTAGAAAAATAACAGTTGTAAGGGGTCGTTTGGTTCGGAGATAAATTATGCATGGATTAGTTATACAAGAATTAGTTAGGCAGGAAATGAATTACGCAAGCATTGAGTTATGCATGAATTAAGTTATACAGGGATTAAGAAATCATATGACTGAATATCTTGTTCAGTATTCTTTTTCACATAGGTTTCTTTTTTGGGTAATGTATTATTTCACATAGGTATTATTTATTAGGAGAGTATTGTGTGACACGAAAAGAAATAGTAACAAAAAATGTCAATCGGCCACCTAATTGTGAAAAAGAAATAGTTTCTCACGACTTAAAACTTTCAATTTACTAATTAAAAGTGGCGGTTATTGAAATTTGATCTAGTAATAATTCGGAAAGTGAGCTCTTGACTACACTATTAGAAACCACAAAGCAGTAGTTGATTGTTCCTAGTAGTTAGAAAAAGGAAAGAGATTTTATGCATAAAATGAAAGGGTATAAGAAAAAACCCTAATCAAACATTGTATAAGTTGTGCAAGATTTTATACGGAAATCAAAATACTAATCAAACATTGTATAAGTTGTGTATTTTATACGGATATTAAAATACCAACCAAACATTATATTAAATTATACTGGATTCTATACATGGTTATACATGAATTAATGTATAAGGAAGGCAAATCAAATGACTCCTAAGAGAATATAATAAACACGTGCATTTCCGAGTCTAGTTACATAAGAGGTTTTCAATAATAAGTTTCTTAGTTCTTGATAACTATAAGCTCACAACATTAGAATCACATAGTTGAAATGTTTTGAAATCAGCGGCTTTTCAATTCCTCTTTTTTTGACTACGTATTCAGGTAAAACAATGTATGAACAATAGGAAAGAATGTAGTATACAAAAGCAATAAAAGAAAACCGAGTGGTTGGCTTGCCGTTTAATTATCTGCTATCGCAATTGCTTTCGGGACTGAAACTAGAAAGGTAATGTAGGTCATGATCTCCATATTCACCATTTATTGCCCCTAGCTGGTGTGATTGCAACTTTCCATCAGCGTCATTGATCACTAACTGTTCGAGCTTCCTTAATTGGTCTCACGAGTCATAATTAATCACTGATATTATTGATTCAACAAAAGGAGGGAAATGTTATCTCAACCTTACAATTCAAAAATATCAGTGTGTCTCCTACCGATACGTAAATTAATAAAAAATTATCTAACTTCCGCAAATAATAATACTGTCATATAATGATATAAAATGGGAAGGAGTAGTACTTTCAATACTTACACTCGGTAGTCGTTGGTCACGTATCATATGCATGGTGTACGATTTAAGTATTATATACTGTATAATAAATTTTATACATCATTATGTGTAATTTAACATGTTATAGCATGTTAATTGTTATTAATTTATTCTAAAAGGTTATCAATTACCACTATTAAATAAAGCTTCTTGTAATTACCTTTTAAATGATTTGATTACATAAATATTTTTCATATAAAAAATTGTGGTATGTATACACGTGCAGAGACTGTTTTGTGGTATGTATACACGTGCAGGAAGGAATAAAAAATTGTGGTATGACACTTCTTTTGTCTTAAGTCGTATTCTCATTCAAACTGATGTTCTATTGATATTCCTTCCTAGACTGATGTTCCCAACTCAATTTCACCGTCTGTATTAATCATAGATAAACAAGACTTAAATGGAAACCAATTAAGAAAAAATTAAACACGTCTTCCTTCTCCCCAATGCCTCATTCTATTGATATAAACTTAGCTCGCACAATCAAACTATATGATTCCCAAAAGCTAAGAAATTATTTATTATGGACCGAATGGAGTAACAAATAATATGTTTTACTCTTCTGGTGTTCGTCATTAACCTGGTTTATTATTCATAAAAAAATTATCTCATAAGGTGTTTACACTAAAGCATAATTATTTTGTTATGGCTAAATAATTTAATAAAACAAAAATATATCTTAATTAACCTTGGTTAAGTAAGAGATATATATATATACAATATAATTACATGTAATATATTTATTACTTAATTTATGTACATACTCGATGTGAATAAATTTCTCGTTAATCCAAATACTTTTTTGAATTCCATTCTTTTGTAGAAGCTAGCATGCTAGTATTAGTTGTAAGGTACAATTAATGGAACGGAATTTCGTATGAGCTGACAGAATAGTATTAGTTGTAGTTACATAAGCAGACAATAATCTTGAACAAAGGCAGAGGAATGTATTATGAGTTTCTTGGTGATAGATCAGAAGTTCTCCACGATGCTAATTGAGGTGGTCCTGAAACTAGTACACTTGGTAAAGAGTAACTACTCCAACATGAGATTTGAGGTACCCTTTTTCTTACTTTAATTGTTTTATTTTTTGCTGCAGTTTAAGAAATATCTTGCATAATTAATTGAAGATAAAGAGTTCCAGAATTATATTGTTAGTCCAAAATTCATGTGGGATTTTCTTGTTTTCCTTAATTTCCGACTTTGTGTCCTACAGAAGGAATCGAGGAAATATCAAAGTTATTCTAGTAGCTAGGTTTCTTTTAATTTTCTATTCCCCCATTTTCTAGAAGATGACCTTTTACTAGAT